ACAGAAAAAATAACAAACTATAAACCACTTCCTTAAGAGGTAAAGTAAATGTGGCGGCGGGATAAGCTAATTATAATACCACTTATCCTCTTAACTACAGGTATTATACCGCAACACGTCATTAAAAATCTTGAAAAATTGGAGTTAGCCACGTCAGTACCTACTTGACAAAGTTCAAAAGGCTGTGAGAACGACTGCTATTGAGAGAAGATATTTAACCTTGTAGTCAAATATTCTCCTTATTATTTGTATAAAACCATTTTTATGCAATATATCTCGTATATTATTTTTTTTTATAATTTCGAGAATGCTTGGGTTGGGATTTAATTTGAATAATTACAGGATACCAAGCTGATGGCAGCACCCAGCCTTCTTCTCTATTGAATGTTATTTAGGATGTTTATTGATTCCAGTAGCCACGCGAATCATTCTTGGAAGGAATCGGTGTTCTTTAGCGAGGATTGGTGGTCTATCAAATTTGATATAATTATAACAATAATAATTTTATTTCAGATACAAGCTCCATAATTTGTTAGTAATAAATAATATAAACTTAAAATTAATGTTAATAAATATACAACCGAAAAAGATAGACCACAAATCCTCGCTAAAGAACACCGATTCCTTCCAAAGATGATTCGCGAGGCTATTGAAATCAAAAAACATCCTAATTTCAATAGAGAAGATGGCTGGGTGCTACCATCTGCTTGGGATCCTATAATAAATAAAATTAAATCCCAACCCAAGCATACAACTGCAAGACTTCAAGATACCATAAGTTCATACTGTGTAGATCGGAACAAAAGTTAAATTTTTATCTATGGTAACCGCTGTTAACTATGACATTTGGACGTTGAACATCTCAGTCCTCCCCGTGACCATGGGTGCTGTAAAGCGCTCGAAACGTCGGGTATTTATAGTTAAATATACGCGATAAAATCCGTAAAAACTAGTATTATTTCAATGTGTAGTGTTCGCGTAAATATAAGAAATCATTAAGGCTCGGTGAAGTTAAGCCCCTGTATGACTCCACATATATTCACTTGAGTATGAACATGCCCACCTTACATTATTTGATTGGTTGTGGTACCAATACCTTAATATATCGACTATCTCACTAGGCGTACTCGTTTTCTTCCGAAGCTTATCCCATAATAGGTTGTACGAGACCAGGTCAAAAGCCTTCGACAAGTTCAAAAAACAGGCGTAGACAGGCGTTTTTCTCGTAACATAATACTGGACGGTATGCTTGAGTCGCAAGATTGCAGCTTCAGTGGACAGTTCAGGTATAAACCCAAACTGTGCCTCATGTATCTGTATATGTTTACTTATTCGACGATCAAGCAAACCATCCAATTCTTTGGCTATCACAGTAGCTACCGAAATCGGTCTATAATTGTTCTTGTCGGCAGCATCCCCGGTCTTATTCTTTAGAACTGGTACCACTATGGTCTTCATAAGTTTCTGAGGTAAGTATTCATGCCCTATACATACATTAAAGGGCATAGTCAATACCCTAAGCAGATGAACTCCCGCATACTGCATGTGCTCAATACTGAGGTCATTATGTGAAAAATTTAATACACTTTTAGAGAAAAATTTAATATACTCATGTTGGGATGTTTTGCTATTACCCTTGAGCTTAACATGTATCGAGATCTTAAAATTTAATTATACAGGTATTGATGTATTGCATAAAACTTTATCTAAATAATTTATATTAGTTTCTGTTCGCGCGAGCGATAAAAACAAATATAATATTATTAATTTATAAAAATAAGTTAATAAATATATAAAATATATAATCCTTATATACATATATTTTGTGCGTGTGCATGCGTGCATGCATTTTGCCTCCTCGTATGTTAACGTTCGAAGCCACTTAGTAAACACTATTTTAATGCATTAATATTATTACATTTATATTATTTTTATATATGTAAGTCTTACCAGGTCGTCGCCCCATCTAGTGGGGGGTCGCCCTGCACTTCGCCTACCGGTACCAGGCTGCCACTCAGAATCTTTTTCCCCATCGGTTTTCGTCCAACTTATATACCAGCCCCAAAAACCAGGGCTCTACATACTTTGAAGTAATTTCTTTCTGCATCGAAAATTGGTTCATAAGTTCATAAAAATAAAGAGTGCAATCGCATATGCTAAAATAGTAAACTTTTAAGCCATGAAGGAACAAAAGTACTTGCAAAGAACATTGATCTTTAACTACTTAAAAATAAAGAGGACAATCGCGTTTACATAAGAAAAACTTCCAGGACTAAAAGTTCCAACTTTCAAGCCTTGTTGAAAGTAAAATACTTGCGTAGAACATTTATCCATAACATAATATAAATAAGAAGCAGAATCGCGTTTACAATAAATACTTCCAATCCTTTAAATTAAATAAACTTTGATAGAACATTGATCCGTAACCAAATATAAATAAGGAGCAGAATCGTGTCGAGTGTCGACAGAGCGAGAATAGAAAATAGAATAGAGGTATTTTGAGTCGGCACTTGGTAAGCATACTTGCAAGTAAATACCTGGTATAAAAACCTGGTCACATAAATACACAACTTTCCTAGTCAGAACCGTGCTTTGTGGCACTCCTTGGCGGATGCCTATGTTCTACAGTGGACTTTTGAAGGGCTGTAATGATGATAATGATGATAATAATGATATGTAGTATTTTGAGAGGCGAACTATTGACTCGTGATAATAGTACAAACAAGGCTGGAACGGAAAGCTGGAAAGGCAAGTCACAATGTCGTTTTCTCTTTTATTCTGTTTTCACGGGGTCATATGGCGGTGTTCTATGAAGGCCAAATTCAGAACGTAAAAGTAAGTTAAATTACAGCCTATATACCTCCCACTGCTTGGCACAGGCCGCCCCTCATTTCTGAGAGGATTTTAGGGCAAGGAAGTGTCCGCCGCGCTGCCTTAATGCGTGTTGGCGAAATTTCACATGCCTTCGAAATATTTTTTTTTCTTATTTTACAGACGCATTAAAGTTCAATTGAACTTCAAAGATGTTTACTTTTTGCATAGCAACTTCCCATACCGGAATACAAAACGCTATGACGGACTAAATCAGGGAAATATGAATTTTGTTTAGGAGATCACTTGCCATGACATAACGCAGTGTTTTAAATACGCGGATGAAATGTGTAACTCGGCTGAATTAACGTGTGGATGCCAGGGTTATTTTTATTTCTATAAAACTCTGAGGTAACTAGTGCAAGTGACCTTTTGAATATCAGGACAGTTAGAGTATCTTAAGTTTGGACTGTTACATACATGGATCCGAACTCGAAACGCGGCTCCTGGTTATGCTCTTTGGTAAGAGTAAAACATATATAATTTATTTTAGCTATACCCAAAGTTAGTACATCTGAATTTAGCAAACTTTCTGTCTCAGAAAGAACCAACTCAAAAATGTTTCATACATTTTCCCATGAGTGTCCATCACCTGTATTGCAAAAAAAAACCACGTCAATGAGGAGGGAGTGGTTCCTTGGTTCCACGACCATTCATTTAAAGCGCGCGACATCACCTAATTTGAGTCCAGGTGACGAGTGATTCTCGCGCTCAAAATGGATGTTAGTGTCTTGTATGTGGTCGGTAGACACGGAATGGGGCGGTTTTTGCTCGGGTCTGTGTTATTATTATTATCATAACGACAAATGTTTGTTTACTTCAAAACCTAGGACCATAAATTATACTCTACGATCGATCGCCAAGAAACATATTCAATTGCCAATTGCGACACCTGGAAACTTCTGTTATGAATATGTATTCACCAATAGAGTTTTTTCGCGCTCGTATTAAACTTTACGCTAAACGCCATTTTGACTCAGTCACGTTTAGCAGTAATATTTCGGAATAGCTTATATTATTTACACCCTGTGAACTGTTTATCATATAGGTGCTGTGGATATTGTATCTTTAAGGAAATAAAAGTTCTGAGACGCTGTTGTTTTCTATCAAAAGGGTTTATAACCTTAGCTGACTCAACCTAACATTTTTATGAGGTAAAAACTTCTGAGATATTGTTGATGTCTAACTCTATGAAAGGATGACCTTTTTGAGATAGAAGAAACAGATTAGAGATCACTGTATACTTGCAAGAATTCCAAACCTACGTTTTGGTTAAAACATTTTACAATGACGTCTCTTTAGTTGTCTGTTGACAACTATTGATTAACACTGTAACTGTTGATTTAACAAAAAGAAATTGACTGACGCTTCGCCTGCCACATCATTTTGTTCGGTATTTCTTTGAAGTTTAAACAGTGATTGGTTTTTTACTGTGTTTCTATCTGGATCTATTTCAAAAATCGATTGGTTTTATAAGGTGGGGTATACCTACTTTTTCGTTTCACATAGGACATATTTTAACTTTTTTATCAGTGCCTATTTTAACTTTTTTAATAATATTATACATACTACCTTTACCTATTGAGCGCGTGTCATTGCGCTGTGTTGTTGCAGTATAAATGAGCTTACCGTCTAGAACACACTTAAATGATTTTGGTATTATTTGTACCAAATCCTTTGTTTATACAATAAGGGTGACAAACTTGCGCAAAGTCCACCTGACGATAAATGGATGCTTTTTACATTTATCCTCGATTAAGAATCAAAATTTAGTTGCGTTGCATTCCTGAGAACCAAGATGGAACACCTCGTTTCTAATTCAAATGGTCTTCTAGCGATGAAATCAGAACTGTCTTGATTTTATTCCTTTCTTTATGGTATTCATAATTGTCTCAACTTCTACGCAAAACTATGTACAGTTTTCAATTCGTTGGAAAATTCGATAGAATAAATCGAATTGAATCGAATTAAAATACTTACAAAAACCTAAACATTTTCTTCTTGTGACTACTTATTTGACTGGTTAAAGACGATATAAGAAATATATTATATAAACCGCTGCCTTTAATATATATAAATTCGTTACATTTTATAAGATGTTAAAAATTTCTTATAATTTAATAATATACTTAAATTAAGGGCCTAGTTTGTGTGTCGGTAATGACTTCGGTGCCTTTGGCGATTGCCTTGGCCTTGACGACTTTTAAGCCAAAAGCGTTTGCTATGGCGGTGGCGATTCCTTTGTCGTATGCATGTGCTGTAGCTTCGGCAGATGATGAGTCATGAGTGTCTGCTGTGGCAGTGGCTACTCCTGCATCATATGAGCGTGCTGTAGCGGTGGCAACTGATGAGCCGTCAGCAATTGCCGTAGCAGTCGAGGTTCCCGTACCATAGGTCAATGCTGTTGCAGTGGCGACTGCTGACCCCGAGGCTATTGCTGTAGCACTATATGGTCCCGTAGGATGGCCGCTCGTCACGAGAGTGGTTAACGCTGGGTTAGAGCTGCCTGCTTTGGCGACGATTCCCATCTCACTACTTGTTAATGCTGCAATGATAAACGAATCTATAAGAACTAAAATTATGAGACATTTCATAGAAATCCATTAAAATTGCTGTTTATGAATTGTACTCAGTCGTATTAAATAACTTCTACTAATATACTTAAAATTAAAAATTTCACAACACACTTACAAGGAACAAGTCGGCGGCGGTTAGAACGATTTTCTGGGTGTGCAGGCGAACTGAAGTTGAGCAAACCTCTGTCCTCGAGACCTGCTATTAAGGTAAACATCGATTACAATTGGTCGTTTATAATTCAACACATATATTCCCCCAATAAACCCGCTGAAGATTTCCTGTCTAAATCAATAATTAGAGGTATTCTCCCAAACCAATAGTAAATGTAGAAAATGACTTTAAGTAAGATTTATTTCTTATCTATATTGAATTAAAAATATTCTTATCTATTCCACCCTCCTTAATATTTGCCGACTATATCGCATGGACAGTCGCGAGCCACTCACGTACCTTCATCTGCTGATAGTAAGTGAATTCTTTAATCCTTGACTTGCTAATAACATTAGTTCATGTTTACTTTCGACTCACATATTAAGTCTCTCTGCAGAATTCCCTCCTAAATCGCATGAATTGTCACATACTAACCACAGTTAACGTGCTGGTTGTAGGTGAATTCTGTAGGCAGTAGACACCTACATCTATTTTTAGTTAAAAGTTAAAATGCATATACGTTATAACCTTTGGGAATTAAGACCAGTAAACAAGGTCTCCGGTTCTCGTCTCTTACCATAAAAATTACTAAAGAGCATTATTCTGCTATCTAGCTGTTAGAACTTGGTTCTTTAAGGTTCTTGCCGTATTTTCATGCTTAAACCGCAGCGTTACTCCACTACGTGAATTGAAATATCGACAAGGGAAAGCTTCAATCATTTGTTAGCTTCTGGCACTGCATATATTACATATATCTCATAGTGGAGTAATATCTCGAAAACTCAGGACCGGTATCAGTAAAATGTGTAAAGTACAAAAAAATAATATTGCTTTTACCACCAATTCAAATTGCAAATACTACAAGTAAATAGAAAAATTTGATGATTTAACATATAAATACTGGAAAATTACCTAAAAAAGCAGGAGATTCTAATTCCAAGAATGGAAATCCAGTTTGACTAGCCATTATTATCATTCTAAAGTCTTCGTGCACGGGAATGATACCAGATGGTTTGCCTCCATATCTGTTCATAATTTTCTTAGAACTCATCCTTCTACCATCGGTTAGTACCATCTCTCCATTTTCCATTAACGAGTTTAAGCTGCTTGTCACTGTTGTTGGCGCTTGGTCGGCTTCATCCACAACTAACACGTAGCCATGTTTAACGGCTTTAACGAGTTGTGAATCTTCGTAAATGACTGTTCCATTTTTGACAGTTGGGTGTACTATCAAAGACTGTTCCGTTGCGTCGCGGTGCAACTTTGTGTATAATGTAGGGTGATTCAATTGATGTAACAGTCTGTCCACGATTTTCTTATTTTCCAGTCCCCGATCATCGACTAGCAACAGATGATTACCCCGTTGAATATCTCGGAGCAACATCTCCATTACTTTCTTGAATTGCGGTACGCCACTGAAAATGATATCGGGGTCTCCATTTAAAGCTTCAGTTCTGGACATATTTTCACTCGTTTTGCCACTTGTTAATGTATCAGTTTCGATCACGGGAAATCGTACTGGTGTTAAAAGAACTTCGCCATTCTGAAAATAAATAAATGCATTTCTTAGTTTATATATTACGAAATTAAAATATACTAATACCTTTTAATATACAACATTAAATATTTTTATGTTGTATATTAAAAGGTAACTGTCAAAAAGTTCTTAAAGTACATTATACTGGCTGATTTTTTTACCGTCTGAAAAATAGAGTGTAACAGATGAACGAAAAAAAAGGCTATGGCAGTGATATTTTACAATTTATTTTTATTTTACATTAATATATTGTGAATTGCACACCGCCGTGTGCTGAGAAAATATACCAAGAAGCAAAAATATCAACTAATGTGGTCGCTAAGACTTCAATTATATAATAATGTACTCGTATGAAGGAAAGAGATCGAAAGCTCTTAATCGTTAATACGTAACAAAAACAATTGATAGAGTAAGCATCTAGTCAGGAATTGAACTTTTTTTTAGTCGCTTTATAAAGCTTCTTCGTACACGATATGTGTACGAAGTAGCTTTATAAAGTGAGTTTTGCCCGACGCTGCCGGCAAAACTCACTTGCGATAAAATAATTAACAGCGGCTAAAGTAGCTAGCCTTGTGGTAAGATCAACGCCTGCTTTGTACTACATCTGCCCTGTGCATACTACTTGATAAAAGCAAAGCATACGTTAACAGGAAATTGCAGACGCTTAAACCGGAAAATAAAATTGTTGGATTAAGAGTGGGGTGGATGGAATAAATACTTGTTCCGCGACACCACACTCCGTTAGGACCTCCGCCTCTCACATTCATTACATTCAGCTGTGGAGTAAATCGTGTGTTTTTGCATTATTTTAATGGTCTCAGGTTTTAATGTGTTATAAGCACAACGAATTTTTAGATAAGTTTATACGATATTAAGTTTATTAGACAATATAAGATAGAATTTACGTCGCCTATAATACTTTTCGCATTCGTATCATAAGGTATATCATATCGTCTCGCGAAAGACATAAGAGACAAGAGAGGAAAATAAAACATCAGCGACGTTCCGATGCAACTTTTTGGTTGCAGCTGCGGATGCCAGCTCGCCTGCCAAGTGTGACTACTATGGCAAAATCAAGAAGAATTGTGAGAGCATGAGGCCATCTTTGAAAAATATGGTTTCAGAGACAATTTCGTTCAAAGGGTACACGGTTTCAAAGAATTTCAGAGCCAATTGTCTCCTATATCGCTAATTATTTGCAAATCTAAGTACAGATTTGGCCTGGGAAAAGTTTTAATATGTAAATAGCTTTGTGGAAATAATATTCACGAAATATTTTTCTGACAACGTATCTCTAAAATAATTGTTAAAAAATTACTCAATGTTAAAACAAATGAAAAATTTGCTATAATTAAAATTTGGTATCTTTTTCTCCATATCCTTTCGTACACTCGTAAGCAAGTTAAATGTGTAGATCACAGTTGTCTTCTTTTTAGCTCCGAAAAAAAAAATATTCAAGTAATAATACGAAATAATTTTTTTCACATTATACATGTCGTAAAATATTAAAAGATTGATTACCTTTGGCGTTAGCCGTAGCTGTTCTTTATCGGATGAATGTGGTTCAGCAAGTGTCAACATTCTACAACAAATTCATAAATAAGTAATCATCAAGCGTATGTAACGGGAAAAATCTAAAAAACACAAATGTACGATATTCGTAGTCGACTGGTGGTGACTAAGTTATTAGTGCGATTAATTTAATTAAGTTCCTATGTACACTACTTGAAACTCACTGCACCAATAACTTTCCTGACATTTAATCATTGTAGTGTAAATTAAAATTTAAAACAGTAAAACGTCGACGCAAGGAAAACCAAGAAAAGTCATGTATTTATTTAGAATATTTTCAGGATAAAATTATTTGTCTTTTTTGCTGTGTCCCATGGCAGGCCACAAGTGATTAAGTTTCAAAACACTGCATCTGCACTAAAGTTTTGGAATTACTTACACGAAGCTGTTGAGAATCAGTGCAATCGGCAAAATCATTTTGATTTGAGCGTAAGCACTTCGTTTCGTACAATGCGCTGAAATGACTTCGCCACAAATTTAAATCTTTTTGCGACAGTTTATTTAGTGTAAAGATATTTAAAGTCCAAAACGTTGTTTTTTACGATTAAAGTGAATACTGAAGTATACGAACGTAATTTGCACTTATATACAGTTACACAAACTACGCACAAGGTCGAAGATGGCAACGCTTCAAATATGTCGGATTCCCTTAAAGATAAAGTAATATTTAGGTCCGGGGCTGTCATTATAAATTTACTTCAAGAACACAAACGTTAGTAAAAAAACCAGAAATAAATACAGGAATAAATGTTCGCAGCATCAATGAATAAGAACAAAGTTTTGTCTTATATATCACACCCTATGAATCAGATTTGATATAGATGTTAAATAATTCATAATTAATAAATAATTTGTAAGCTTAAGTGGTAATGGGCCAGCCATATAGCTTGAAGAGCCTGCAACTGATGGGGTAAAAAGCATTCTCGAGCGGCAGCGTCGTACCGATAGGCGAAGTGTAGCGCAGCCCTCTATCAGTAAGTAAAGATCTGCAGAGAGTCGACGAATGCAGGTGGCTCACGACCGGTCTTTGTGGCATTCCTTGAAGGAAGCCTATTTTCAGCAGTGGACTTATGAAGGGCTGTATTAATGATGATCATGATGATGATGATGTTGAATAAAACTGGTTTTAATGATACTGTCTATTTACATTTTACTGACGTTTTGTGTGCTTTGCATCAGCCTTGGTTATTGAGATTGAGGTACTGAACTTCCGGTTATCATAGTAAGCCCTCTTCAGTTGTTGTTTGCTTATTAATTTGTTTTCTGTTCTACAAAACACAGCTTATACTATCATGCATTGGTAAGCTTAATTTTGAACTTAATTTTTTTATAAGTCAATCCATTACTAACTTCAGTGACCCCAGGCATCATATCATTACTTGAAATCAATCGATATTCTTTTATAAGGTTCACACCTATATATTTACTAGACATCCTGATTACGTTCGCATACTGCATAACTTCTTGGAGCTTTAATTATTAACATTTATATTACGTGTGACCTTTAAATCAATTTTTTGTGTACAACTAAAAATAAATAATAATTACAAATTCCATAATCAAATTATACAGTATTAGTATACACGCAAATACAATAAAGTATTAAAAATTATATTTGTCACGCAATCAGACAGTTTTATACATAATTTTACAAACTGACAACCCTGTTATGAACATAAGTAATAAAACGCGTATACATGCGTTTTAACATATTGTTATTCAACAATTACTCAAATATGACGAACCATTGAGAAGTGCACAAACTCATTATTTTGTGACAAACGCATGTGTAATCAAAAACAGACCGTCAGATAAGGTATTCAAATTTATAGGTGCTAGCGAGCCAGCCTGTTAATGAAACTTCTTTTAATTAAAAGAAAAATTGAGTAAAATAAAAGTGAGGTAACAAATTTTATAAGATTTGTTACTTCTTGGTAAATTAATAAAAAAAATATTAGAAAAATAAATAAAACGATAAAACATTGAAAGCCATTTAAAAAAAAAACTAAAATTAATAAAATAATTTAACATACTGAAGCCGGTACTTATACATAGTTGTTGGATTTGCTATCTCCTCCGTAACCCGTAGGCCAATTTACATAATTTTTCCATTTTTTTCTAATATTTGTAACTCAATGTAGACAAGGTTTGTAAATAATAAAAATCTCAATTTGTCTAAAAGATATTAAAAAAATAACCAAAAACTAAATTGTCAATAGGAAAATGTATGTAGAGCAAAAACTTGCGCTTTTGTAATAATTATTGAGAAAATAATTAATTTAAAACAATTGTAATGTGATTTTATCTTTTGTTGGAATAAACATATTTATGACTTTAGAGTTTTACTCCGCTCCATTTCTGATGCTAGCAAAAGATTTTACCTTTGCATCTACATCGGCCCTAGTTTATTAAAGTCAGAGTATTATTTTATTACTTTTAAGTTATTTAAAGTTGGTTTTTACTTATTATTTGATACTTGTTGATAGATTAATAAATATAACGTTAATGAAAATAAAAATATAAAACATCACATGCCGAATTCAAAATAATAGTAAAATAATTTCGTATTCTGAAGTCGGTGTTAATAATATTGTGTATAGAAGAATATTAAAGTTTCTACTACAAACCGTGAAATTATTTAATTCGTTTTAAGTTATTAGAAATTGGCTTTACTTTTTATTTATTACTTGTTGATAAATTAACAAATAAAAAATCTATAAAATAAATAAAATATAAAACATTAAAAGCCGAATTCAAAATAATTATAAAATTATTTCATATTCTGAAGTCGGTGCTAATAGTATTGGGTATAGAAGAATTAAAGTTCCGACTTCAAACAGTGAAATTATTTGATTCATTTTAAATTATTTAAAGTTGCCTTTTACTTTTTATTTGTTACTTATTGGTAAATTAATAAATAAAACAATAAAATATTGAACAACCTAATTTAAAGAAATATTAAAATAATTTCACGTTCTTAAGTCGGTTTTAACACCTAGTGTATATAAGTATTAAAGTCCCGACTTCAAAACGTGAAATTATTTTATTATTTTCAAGTTATTCGAAGTTGGCTTTTACTTGTTATTAAAATATTTATTGGTCTACCGGGTGAAGTGAGAAATATTACAATATCAATGTCGTCTAAATAGTTATATTATATACTTTATTAGCTCTTTTGCAACCCCTAAGTATATTTTTTACGCCAAATGGAACCACCTTCATCAAAATTGCTGCACATTTGACGAAGATATCACGTTACACACATACACAAAACTCACGCTTATAACCATAACATTAACAATCTGTTACCTTTTGTAAGGGTGTACTATTATTATTAATTAATTAATAATTAATTTCTACATAAATCTGTGTAAAAATATCTTTAAGGTAATATTTTAAACAATTAGAAATGCATTAGTATGTATAAAGTTAAACTTTATTCATCATTTCATATATTAAGTATTATAATAAAGTAAAGGCCTAATATTGTCTTTAAAAAAATCATTAAATTTTTAAAAACCGTGCTTAAAATATACTAAATGTTAATGTTAATTGAATAATAGAAATACAAGTTGATCATAATAATAAAGACAAATAACATTTATAATATAATTGGAAAATTTGTCACTTATTGAACGTGTATAATTTTAAAGTTATTGAGCGTGTTCCTGTAAGGTTGTTGTGGGTGTTCATGTAGATTTCTTTTATAAGGGAGTTACCGGAGACGCATACCCATGGGTGTACATATATGTATGCTGGCCAGGTGGCTGACTACTAAAGTACTACTGTATTAGCACAATATATAGTCCTATATTAGGGACTTATGATAGTGTAAGGTTAAGGTTTAAAATGATACAATTTATACAATGCTACCATTAGTTAGGGTTATAAATGATACAAAAACATCATTATAGGAGGTCTCTATGACGAATAAGCAGTATAATAGCAGAATTGGAAGTTAAAATCCCATATAATGGAGACATATATAGATCTATAAAATAAAGCAAATATGTGGAAGGTCTCAAATATGTAAAACTTGAAAAGGATTATTATAGTAGCGTGTAAACTTCATCACATTGTCCGAGATCGAGGAAAACTTGGACTCGCTAACCGATATATCGTAGGCATATCTCCTTTGTGCCGGTAGTGAGCAGGTTTGTGTAGCAATACAGCGCGCCTGTGGGTGTGTGATGCAGTGCAGCATCACACACCCGTACTGGTTGTGGGCGGCGTCTTAGCGCATAGCGTTATGATACGTTGGTTATCTTTGATTAAGATGAGTGTGTTTGGTAGCACTTTTAAGTGTAACAAGCATACGTAACTCCATGTGTGCCTATTATTTGACGTGTTGCTTGTGGCTCGATTTGATCGTATTCTGTATGGCGTTTACAGACATTGACATGAGCAACTTCAGTCGACGTTTGTGCTTACGAACTACCAAGAGGTCAAGCCTGCATAATTTCCTGCATAATTTATGACATCCGAGTCACAATACTCTAATGGTAAAGATGCTGAAGATTTGCTTTTATTATAATCTGCGCATTAATTGGCGTATCCGAATTTGCTTATACAATCCGGACACATCCATTTTTGCGCATCTTAAGAGGTCTCTTCCATTTTGGCGTTACGCAAATTTAGGTATTTTACGCTCCGAGCGGGCGACGACCTACGCGAGCGATACTTTATTTCATAATATCTATTGACTCGCTTGCACTATCATACTGTAAGTATATTGACTAAACGATTTAGATCCTGCATTTTCGAGAGCTTCGGGTCCCGCGCCTACGTCACAGTGACCGAGTGAAGCCGGCCACAGTCGATCGTGTGCCTGCTGTACTACCATATGTCAGAGGTGTCACAGACAAGATTGGCTACATCTTGAAGCGAGCTTCTATTAGAACATTCTACATGCCGCCGAAGAAGATTAATCAGTTCTTACCATCCGTCAAGTGTCATATTCCTCTACAAGATGCAGGAGTGTACAAGCTTGTTGATTGTGGTCTCTCATATATAGGGCAAACAAAGAGATCAATTAGAACCCGCATAAAAGAACACATAGCTGACGTGAAGCATCAACGTTCAGGGAAGTTTGCAGTTTGCGATCATATCCTAGATGGCCCCAACCATTACATCAGATTTGATAGACCACAAATCCTCGCGAAAGAACATCGATTCCTACCAAGGATGATTCGTGAGGCTATTGAAATTGAAAAACATTCTAATTTCAATAGAGAAGGAAGCTGGGTACTACCACCTGCTTGGGACCCTATAATTAATAAAATTAAAACTAAACCCAAGCATACCACTGCAAGACTTCAAAACACAGTTAGTTTATTCTGCGTAGATCGGACCAAAGACAATAATTAAAAAGCTGAAGGTACTCCGTGTTAACTTTGACATCGTGACGTCAGTCACCT